CCCCAAAACCCCAAAACCCCAAAACCCCGCTAAATTTTGAATTTATTGAAAATGATGAGGAATGTTAGGTAAGTAAATTGGTCAGAATCCTTTAAATCTAGGATGAAGTCTTCGGTCTTGCTTTGCACTAATGGATAACTTAATAGTAACAGGTTGCATTTTAATGGTTATAAATCATGGTTTTATACTTGGAGTTTTGGATCAATTGTTTGAGAGATAGAATTGATAATTTATGAATTGGGGAGCTCAATTAGAAGATTAAAGTTATTGAGTTCAAAATATTAAGTTGGCCATCAATCCAATTTCATTAAGTATATTTTTCGAGATCTCCCGCCTATGCTCAATTTGAAATTGATAAGTTTTGAGGGTAAGAAACTATCTCATATATCGATTTGAGAAGTTCAGAAATGAAATGAAGATTAATAAAACAAAGACAGGCTGGGTAGTCCTGTCTATAACAAATAAAATCTTCTCGATTTAAGTGAGCTAGTTCTAGTTCAGAGATTATATAATCATGAAATGAAGAAACTAAATTATAAATTCTTTGAATTCTTTAAACTGTTCCAGACAATTTTTCTATAATCTAAGGCCATGGGTTACTCTTCTCAAATTTGGTCCATCAGATATAGCTAAAATAAAGGTTACAGTTCCAATTATGAATAATATGAAGCCAATCTGCAATTCTTCTCTTAATAATTCGAAATAGTTTTATGCTAAAAATAAAAAATTCAAGAAGAGCTATAAAATTGACAAACTGAAGATCATGATTTTATGATAAAAAAGTATTCAAATCTGTAGAAATTTATCACAACAAGAGAGGGATAATTTTGCATAAAATATTCGAAACTAGTTATATCTGAACCACCGCGTTGTAAAATTTCTAATGCATATTTACCCCACATTCTTGATTAAGCATGCAAAGTCACCATAATAATATCTTAATCAATAGCTTTTGAAGTAAAGAATATCTTATTTGATTGAGAAGACTTCCCATATTCTCTCAAGTCTCAAACCTGATTCCTCAAACCGTGAAGTATTAGCCCAGTTTAGATAAACAAGAATCGGAGAAATAAGCAGGGCTATTATGGAAAGTCTGTACTGTTTTATCAACCCCATTGGCGTAATCTCTTCTAATGCTTGTTTCAGCTTGAATAGCCTAAATTTAAAGTGAGCATTTATTGATCAGAGAATGTTTCTAACGTACTCAATGCTCTTTGCAGAGTTTATAAACACTGTCAGAGCGCATGTAGATAACTGGTGAGGATCATGCTAGTGCTTACTATCATTGAAGCATATTTAATTTGATTTATCAATAATTAATTATTAAATAGGGGTTTTGGGGTTTTGGGGTTTTGGGGTTTTGGGG